AGCATTTTCACCCCAGAAAGCTCTGCGCAGCAGCAAGGAGCCCTATTTACAAATACAGCCTGTTCTTGCCTCCACCACCCACACAGCCCAGCCCCTTTATTTCATTTCAATACGCCGAGTTCCACTAAAAGTGCATTGGCAATAAACGGAATTAATCAGTCCTGGATGCCCGAGTGAGCGTTGGCAAGGTGTTAGCACATCTGAGGGACCTTGGAGGGGAGAGTAAAACAGTGGCAGGGAATATAAAATGCTTTACTGTGATGGGGACTGAAGACGGAAGGACTTCACCAAAGGCGGGCATTTTATGAGCAAATAAAGCCTCTGATCGCCTGCAACTGAGAAGCCAACTAAAGTGCCTGGAAACTTCTATGGAATATTTTTCCTCTGCCTTGTTTCAAAGTGGAAACTGCTTTATTGTTGCTGTTTCCATGATTATAAAAGTAATACTCGCTCCATTCAGACACTGTATAAGGATGTAAAGAACAAAGCGGAAATCATCCATAACCTCACCACCTCGAGATAACCGCTGTTGAGGTTTTGGTGGATGTGGGTGTGGATGTTCTCTGTGCGTATTTTCGCATGCATACAGAATATGAATGGGATCCTGTTAGATGTGCGGTTTTGCAGCCTGTGTTTCCCACTTAAGAATGGACCATGGACATCCTTCCATATTAATAACTGCAGATCTCCAGCATCGCCTTCTCCTGGCTGCACCGTCTTGGGTGAATTACACGCCCTGTGTGATCTGGCTCCGTTCGCCTCGTCAGCATCGTCCGGCACCTTCTCCCCGCCTGGCTTTCTGCACTCAGCCTCACTGGCCTTTCTCTGCCTCCTGGAACACTTCTTGCCACTTCAGGGACTTAGCATTTGCTGTTCTTCCTGCCTGAAATTCTCATTTCCTCTTTCACATCATTGGTTTTCTTCTCTTCTTTAAAATTTCAACGGAAAGATTTCTTCCTCCAGGAAGGCTTCCTGGATATCCAAGACCAGAGCTGGTCTGCCCTGTTAGACACTCACAGGTTTCCATGTGCTTCGCCACCTTGGTATTTATCACGATTGTAATTAACAAACAGTTGTGTAATTGTCCCCTGCTGTCTTCCCACTAGAAAGTACGCTCCTGGAGGTCAGAGACTGGGCCCATCTTGCTCAGCTCAGAAGCCACAGGGCGAGCACAGTGTCTGGCACCCAGGGGTCCTCAGGACACATTCACTGATTAAATGGAAGGAAAGGAAGCGGGGGCAGCCATGGACACCCAGTGCCTGCATGTAATGTCCTCTTCCGTCCGTCCTTCCACACAATAGAGGGATCTGCCAGCGGGTTACCTGTTTTGGCATCTCTCTGTGGACAGGGGAACCTGTAGGTGAAGGAGAATGGAGTACGTTCCTGGTGTCTGGGCACCCTCGGGCCCTCTCATGCTGGGAGAACACGCAGATCCAGGAGAAAGCCTCGGAGATCACGTAGCCCAAGTGTTCAACTTCTCACCGTCCAAGCAGGGATACTGAGGCTCACAGAGGGGAAGGCCGTGCCCACCCTGACACAGCTGGGCAGGGGCAGATCCTAGGGGTCTGGTCCTCTGCTACACCCGGCCACCCCAGGCTCCGTCAGGCCTACGTTCAATCCCAGCTCTGACATTAGAAACAATCTGACCAATAACTCTATGAGCCTCGGTGTTTCCAGCTGCAAACAGGAGACAGTAACACCTACATTATCACTGGGAGGCAGTGGAACCCAGCGGTGAAGAACATGGACTCGGAGTGCACTGGTGTGAGCTCGAATCTAGCACCTCTTAGCTGGATGATTTGAGCAAGTTGCTTATCGTTGCTTCTGAATCAGCCCCCATTCTACAACAGGGATAAGAACCTTCCTTTATCATACATTGTGGCAACAGTTCGTGAGATAATGTGAAGCATCAGCACGGTCCCTGACACAGTAACTGCTCAGTACCTGGATAATGTGACAATAAAAGCTACCACCTGTGGGTAATCAGAGAGAGAAGTGCATGCTCGGTCCCTCAGGACAGAACCTAGCATGTTGTCTCTCGCAGGCTCCCTCTCTCCGTCTCCTAACATGGATTCAGTCACGGTGTATTCACCCCCAGCACAGTATGGGACCTGCTCATGCATTTCTTGCCCCCAAGGACACTGCTTACGGCATCACACAATATCCTCTCTAATAGGGACCAGAGGAAAATTGCTCTCAGGCCTCAGGAAGAGGAATAACTCGCTTCTCAAGCACAGCTGGTCTGTTTTCATCTTACAGATGTCTCTGACTTGCTTCCCTCTTTGTGTTGGCTGCCAGGAAACTCAGAGCCAAATCTGTGTCCTGCCTGTCGCTCAGTTTACAGCCCCACACAGCAAGTGTTTTAGGAAGGACTCTCACCCCAGCTTCATCTCTTTCTGTCTGCCCCCATTCTTCTTCCTCCCAATCTCCTCACCCACTTAAAAAACAAAGAAAAAAACCTTTACTCCGTTTAGAAACTGCCTTCAATCTTTTCTGAAATTTTGGGGGCAAAAACAAACGGAATTAAAATGGCATATGGGCTAAATGTAACGGGGTACGCTGGATTGGACTGTATCCCAGAACAGAAAAAGGACATTAGTGGAAAAACTGAATACAGTCTCCCATTGGTTTAACAGTATTGTACCAATGTTAGTTTCTTAGTCTTGACAAATGCACCGTGGTTATATAAAATGTTAACATCAGGGGAAGCCGGATGAAGGATAAATGGGGATTGTCTTTGCAACTTTTCAGTAAATCCAAAATTATTGCAAAATAACGGATTTATTAAACACAATCTGCATAGAGAATACTATGCAATCGTTTCCTCTTGGAGTCCCAACCAAGTCTCATCTTCACCTGCTGAGACCACAGCAAGCCCGAGACCCAGGGCATTTCAGGATCCACGAGACCCGGCCAGCATCTGTGGAGCATCTACTCCTGCCCGTCTCGCCTGGCGAGGAGCAGGGTTCTAGAACTGGAACCCGATTCCTGGACTGGGATCCCAGCTTTGCCCTTCACTAGCTGTGTGACTCTCTCAGTCTCAGATTCTGCACCTGTAAACCAGGCTAACAAAGAACCTGCTGTCACAGGGGTGTGGTGAGGTTTCAGCGATGGAATGACATAAAGCACTCGGGGAAGAGCACTGTCTCAGTCAGCCCAGGCTGCTGTAACGAGCACCCAGACGGGGGCCCTCAGCAACAGCAGACATTCATTTCTCACAGTCTGGAGGCTGACGTCTGAGATCAGGGAGCCAGCATGCTCGGGTTCCGGTGGGAACCTTCTGGTGAGGGTTGCAGCCTGCTGATCTCTTGTGTCCTCACATGGTGGAAAGAGGGCTAGGGAGCTCGGTGGGGTCCCTTTAATAAGGGCCCTAATCCCATGCATGAGGCCCCACCCTCACGACCTGAGCACCCCCAAGGCCCCACCACCTAATACCCTCCCCTTGGGGGTTAGGGATTCCACACATGAATCTGGGGGGGACACACACATTCAGTCCGTAACACAGACACTCAACACAGTTAACCTTTACTATTAATGTTACCCCCAGTTCCTTCCTCCGTTCATCTTCTCAATCATCCTGGGAAAGATGTTATTTATTATGATTATCTGGGAAAAGGAACAGCAGCCCAGACAGGTGGAGGGACTCTCCAAGGTCACACAGCTATTGAAGCAAAAGCAGGAAGGCTGGGATTTGAATCCAACCTTCCCGACCCCAAACCCAGCGCTCTGCCCACTCCGCCACATCTCCTAAGAGAAGCCGACACATGCCCCGTCCCTCTGCCACTCCAGCCGTCCGCCACGACGGGGCTGGAGAGCTCCTGCCGCCACTCTGATCCACCAAGATCTTTCCTTCTGTCTGTGTAGAGAATCAGGTTCCCCCACGTCAGAGGGACATTCAAGGCCCTTTGTTACGAAGACACAAGCTCATCTCGTGCTCCGTCCCCGGCCTCACCTGCGGGCTAGTCGCCCATCCAGTCACCCACAGTCAAACCACGTGGTTCCTTCGAGGACGCCCCTTCCTCCTCACCCCTTTACCCCGCAGGCCTGGCTCAAATGCCACCTGTGCCCAGGGTCACCGCTCCACACCGCTGCTGCCTTGGCACCCCTGGCATCAGGATTTACCCAAACACGCGCTGCTATATATTTCAGTGATCTGTGTCCCGGTCCCGCGTCCTCGTGGACAGTCTCTGCCTCACTCACGGTCGCCTCCCCCTGAAGCTGTGAGCAAGTCCCTGGCCCTCCCCAGCAGGGTGGTACCGTCTTAACCGTGGTTAAGACCACGGGCTCTGGAATTAAGACTGCCTGGGCTTGAATCCTGCTCTGCAACCCATTAGCCGTGTGACCTCGGGCAAGTCTGTTTAACCTCTCTATGCCTCAGTTTCCCCAACTGGAAAATGTGGGTCATAACAGCCTACCTCACAGAGTGGCATGAGGGCTCAGTGAGATGATCCAGGTGAAGTCAATTACAAACGCCAGCACACAGCCCTCTCTAAAATGTGAGCTAATAATATTATTTCAATAATTGCTGGTTGCCCTGGATGGAAGGCCAGCTCCAAAGCTGCCCAGTGCAAGCCCAGTGCTGCTCACAGCTTTCTCTCCATTTCCCTCACCACGCACCCACCGCAATAAACCCCAGAGTCAGGGCCATGGCAGGCCATCAGCAGTGTTTGCAAAACAACAGCCACTGAAGAGCTTGGGCTGGCTGCCTGCCCAGCACCCCGTGGGAGGCCGCCCTGCTGTGAGGATAGCTAGGAGAACTCGGGGTGCAGGAGGTGGGGGGATGGCTCCTGCCGCTTGCTCTGAGTTATGAATTAGAGGCACGCAGCCAGGGGAGGGCTCCCCACCTGGGACCAGCCCTCAAGGTGGGTGCTGATTGCCCTGCGGGAAGCCTGATTGAAATCAGCTGCCAATAGCCCCACACACGGATCCTTCCCTCCCTCAGCCCCCCACGCACGCAGCCGGGCGCCCCATCCCCACCCACGGGAGTCGGGGCCTCTCACCTTGAGCCCACTGCTTTCTGCTTCGGAGCCTGGGTCCACGCCAGTGATGTAAATGCCCAGGCCATACTCGGCTCCCCCGCGGATCGTGAGGCCCAGGGACCGGCCTTCCCCCAGCACGAGGTTCACCTGCAGGGCGGAGAGGACACAGCATTCAGGGGCCTGGAGGAACTCTGGGAGGCAGCAGGCTGCAGAGCCCCTCCCACACCCTGAAAGGCACACCGATTTGGGCCCGCAGGATCCCCTAGAACATTCCGATCCCCTGCCCCAGCTCTGCCTCCAACTTGCTGAGCGACCTTGGGGAAGTCCCTCTCCCTCTCTGGGCCACAGTTACAAGTGCCGTAAAAGGAAGGCTCTGAAGGAGATGACCTCCAGGGATCCGCCGATGTTAACATCCTAGAGCGCCTTGACACTTCAGGTTTTTATGTGTTCTTACAGCATGGGGGCCACGGATTCCCCGTGCCTCCCCGGCTGCCCCTCCCCGTACCCTTCAGCAGGGAGGGCCCGTTCAGGCCCCAGGCTCCCCACCTTCCATCCTCCCTCCTTAGGATCAAGGCTGAGTCCACCACCCTGCCTCCCCGGGGGTCTCCTGCTCTGCAACCCATCCCGACAGACCACAGCAATGGTGCTTCATCAGCCCTCCATTCTACAAACACAGGGAGCACCCACTAAGTGCAGACCCAGCACTGAGCCAGGGGGCCTGGAGATGAGCCAGACACAGTCCTGCTCGCGAGGGTCTCACAGTCCAGAGGGGCAGAGAGACCCATAAACAGACCCTCACGGTACAGCGCGATCACAGCGTGATGGTGTGGCTCGGGGGCCCTGCGGGCACAGAGAAGGGGCAATGGTCCTGACTGGGGATGGGGGTATTCAGGGGGGGGCTTCCTGGAGAAAGTGACATTTCTGATGAGATTGGAGGGTGAGCAGGAGCCAACCAGGCAGGGGCGAGACGGGCATTCAGGGACATGGGACAGCCTGTGTCACTGCTCGGCAGTAGGGGAGCATGCTTCCCTCGGGACCGTGGAGGTGAGCACTGAGGCCATGTCAGGAGTGCTAGGGGATGGAGGGACTAGGGAGGACAGGCAGGAGAGGCTGGGGCAGACCAGGGAGGCCTCGCAATCCATGACGGAGCCCGCAGGGACCTGCAGGTTAAGTGTGCCTCGGACATGAAAGGGGAATTTACGGAAAAGGAGGAGCGGGGCCAGAACAGCTAGAAACTATGAGACCCTGGGACAGAAAACATCCTGCAACAAGTTAAGACCCAGTGACATGTAAGGGACCCAAAGAGAGCATGGTGTGACTGCCCACAGCAGGGGCAGGGCCAATGTCACGGAGTTAGGGACGCCAACCAACCAGCTTTCTATTTCCGAAGAGTCGCCCATCCAGGAGTTATCAGGGGATCTCTATCAGTCACCGGGAGCAGCGTTTTACGCGTACTATCTCGCTTCATTCTCCACCCTGGAGCTCGGCGTGGAGGTGGCGAAGAGGACAGACTCAAGTCCAAACTGTGTGATCTTGGGCAACTTACTTAACCTCTCTGTGCCTCAGCCTCCCCACCTATAAAACGAGGATGAAAATAGTGTCTGCCTTATAAGGTTACTGTGGCGTGGGTCAGATTAAGAGACAAACGTAGGCTAGTCTCCGGCCCGCTGTGAATGCTCGACAAACGTTAGCCATTGTTGGATATATGTTTTGCACATGACAAAACCAGAGAAGTCCACACAGCCACAGCGGACCCCTACCGGCTGGCAGACCATCGTCGGGAGAGAGCCCAACAGACAGAGCGACTCCACGGGGTTTGGTCCTGAGATTGCATACTCTGAGGCACGTCAGGGAGGCCTGTCCCCAGTGGGACAGTGCCAGGCGCTGCTGCCCAATGGGGCGGCCCAGCCCCCTTAGGCCAGGGCCAGTTGCCAGTTTGCTCCTCAGACAGGATGACCGCATTAGAAAGGAGAGCACCCCCGAGGCCCACAGAGCTCTCAGGGGAGTGGCTAGCGGTCACCCAGGAGGGTCAGAGACAGATGTTCCAGAAACAGCAGGCTCTGAGGACACTTGAGGTCGGACTTGGGAATAACGACCCGGCCCCTGTGATCTGTCCCTTCCCGCCACAGTACAGCTCCAGGGCTGGGACAGGTGTGAGGTGACCTGGGTTCAAGGCCCACCCTGGTCCCCTATCACGTGCGGGTCTGTGCATTTGGGAGGGATCTATGTGTGCAGGCTCTGGAGCCAGACTGTCAAAGTTGAATCTCAGCATGACCCTGGGCAACTTACTGGCCTTCTCTGTGTCTCAGTTTTCTCATCTATTAAATGGAGAAACGATCACACCCACTTCACTGGGTTGTTGTGAGGGATGAATGGGTCCATCTACGTGGAGCATTGAGAATCGTGCGTGCACGGCAGAGGCACTCAGAAAACGTGACTGTTGTTACTATCTTCACAATGGCCCTCTCGGGCAAGCCATCGGGCTAAGCTCACGCAGGTATGACCTGGGAAGAAGGAGGAGGCCTTCCTCAAGGGAGACAATGAACACGGGCGGCTGCATAGGCTCAGACAGGCCTTGAAGATGCGAGCCATCGCTGGTATTCCACCCAGATGCTAAGGAAGCCCCAAGTCTGAGTCAGAGGATAATCCGACTGGGTCCCTGCCCTCGGGAAGTGCCCTGGGGCTAGGAGTGTTGGCTGCTGCTGGCTCACAGCTGAGTCCCTTCCGGAACTGCCTCATCTACGGTCCCTGCCCTCCCTGGAGCAGCTCCCATCCAATGACTGGTTGATGGGGGCGGGCAAAAGCCAGACCCCTGTCTCTGTTCAGGACAGGTCTGCAGGACCACCCTCGCTCCAGAGCTCCGGGGGGAACCAGTGGAGGCCTCTGCAGTGATGGCATGGAGGCCCACTCCTCCCTCTGCCCAGGCCTGCGCCACTCATGCCTTCACAGCATTGATCCAGGGTGCTGCCTTGCTGCTGTGATAAATGACCTCAAACTTAGTGGCTTAAACAATACAGACATACTATCTTAAAAGTTCTGGAGGTCAGAAGTCTAAAGTGGGTGGATGGGGCTGCATTCCTTCTAGAGGCTCTTAGGGAGAACCCGTTTCTTTGCCTTTTCTAGCTTCTAGAGGCCACCTGCCTTCTTTGGCTCATGGCCCCATCCTCCATCTTCAAAGCCAGCAGGTGGCATCTTCCGATCCCTCTCTCTGTTCTCAGCATCACATCACCTTTTTCTGACTCTGATACTTCTGTCTCCTTCCTCTAAGGACACCTGTGATGACACTGGGCCCACCTGGATAATCCAGGAGACTCTCTCCATCTCAAGATCCTTAATCACATCTTCAAAGTCTCTTTTGCCATGGAAAGTGACATCTTCACAGGCTCCGAGGATTAGGAGATGGAGGTCTTTGCGGAGTCATCATTCTCTCTCACACAGGCTCTCTCCTATAAACCTCTTCCAGGGAAATCTTGGTCTCAGAGTCCCTTCCTGGGAGCCTGACCTCAGGCAGAGCCTTCCAGAAATATGACCGCCAAGCCCTGCAGGCTGAGGGGGTCATCAGGGCAAGAGCACATGCAAAGGCTCAGAAACAGGACGGAGCACGGTCCCCTGAGGTCACTGCAGGGTTCTGTTTGGCTGGAGTGTGGCAGGGAGGGAGGGGAAGGGATGAGATGAGCCCGCGTGGGGCCATGAGCCAGGCTGAGAAGCCTGGGCTTTAAGAGGGAGAGAGACGGGCTCAGACTCAGATTTTAGTTAGACTATTGGGGAGGCGGAGCAGCATAGGGGCCACTTTATGGAGACCCTTCCAGAGAGGGTATGTACCTTCAGACATGGGGGTTTGAGGGACAGGGCTCAGACCTGAGGAGGTCAGTGAGGTCAGCTGAGGACACAGTGGGCAGCTCCCGCCTCCAAACTGGATGGACCCCCTGCTCCAAGCTCTGCCTTCAGGGCCTGGAACAAGCCAGGCCTGGCCTGGGGTCTACACGCCCAGGCTCCAGCCCAGCTCACTGGGTGCCCTGGGGTCAGTCCCCACCCCCGTCCCTACCCCTACCTGGTCCTTCCAGCTCCAGGACACAAAGATTCTAGGGGGAGCGAGCAAGAGGGGCCCAGGAACATCCAGATGGCCGCGGTAGTCTGCAGCAGCCCCCTCTAAACACTAAAGACGAAAACAAACCTCCCCATATATCCTTTGTGTGGACTAAAACAGTCTCTATCACAGAATTGTAATAACAGTCCTACCAACCACAGGATAATCTAACTCAATCACTTGCTGGAAATTCAACCAGCATCTGGCAGGAAACAAAATTCACCAGTGGGAAAGGACAGGGAGCTGTGAGAGGCAGCCTGGCACAGTGACAAGAATACTACTCCCACGAACAATATGCAGATAATAATAACAACTCACTCAATTAACTGGTCACTCAATGTACCACGTATTTCCTAAGTCCCAGGCTCTGTGCTCAGCACTTCACATGCATGACTTCGTTTAATCCTCTCTCCTCCTCTGTGGTGTCTCTTATTATCCCCGTTTTCCAGATGAGGAAACTGAGGCTGGAGGGGTGAAAGGATGTGGCCGAGGTCACGCAGCCGACAGCTGGCAGAGCCCAGGCATTTGGCAGTGCACCACAGAGACTCCCGCAGGCCTGAGTTCACATCCTGCTTCTGCCCTTTGCTCCCGGGCAACCGTGGGACCAGGCCCATCACTACTCTGATCTCAGTTTCCCCATCAGTGAAATGAGAATCGCACAGCCTACCTGGAGCAGGCACTGCCAGCCCCTTCCTGCCTTGTCATAGAACCCCAACCCTCTCCAAGAAGCAACGTGAGCAGCCCCAGGAGATGATGTCAATAAACATTTTGGGGAAAAAAGATACGAAAGGTACCTGGAACCCAGTCAGCATTCGATAAAGGATGGTTGTTACTGGAATTAATTAGTGTGTCCCAGGCACTGCACGCTGTGTTTATGCACAGGATTGTCAATCCTTGAAACAGTGCCATGTGGCAGCCGTGAACATCCCCAAATCATGGACAGGGAAGCCAAGCGACTCGCCCCAGGTCACATGGTCAGGAAGTTCTGAAACCAGGTGTGATACTGTGATTTACAATAAGAAATATATGTATTTGGTCTTCGTCCCCGTCCCTGGCACTG